GTAACATGTTGACTGAGGCATAAAGGATGGGAAGGAAGCCAGGCATGGTGGCCTGTAATCCCAGCAATTGCTTGAGGCCAGAAGTTCAGGACCATCCTGGGCAACATAGTGAGACCTCATATCTATAGAAAATTTTTTAAAAATTAGCCGGGCATGGTGGCACATGCCTGTAGTCTCACCTACTTGGGAGGCTGAGATGGGAGGATCTCTTGAGCCTGGGAGGTCTAGGCTGCAGTGAGCCAAGATGGTGCCACTGCACTGCAGCCTGGGCAGCAGAGTGAAACCCTCTTAAAGGAGGAAGAGGAGGGAAGGAATGAGCCAAGAAAACACCCAAGGGAAGAGCATTTTAGTTGGAGGGAACAGCATATGCAGAAGGCCTCCTGGGGCAGGAATCATTTCATTCATTACTGTAGCCTAAATGCTTGGCACATAGTGGGTTTTCAATAATTAATGAGTAAAGATGAAACAAGGTGTGTGTGGGCGTACACATGTGGGTGATGTGATTTAGTTTGCCTTTTAAGAATAGAGACACCGCAGATACAGAGTACTCCGTAAATGAGATGTTGGAATGGTTGAAGAAATGCTTGGTTGACTGTTGATTGAGTCATTGTTGGCCGCTGCTTTTTTTTCTTTTTAAAGTTTTATTCTTTTTCCTGGGACCCTCCAGCAACTCAGGCAATTTTGTGTTCCCCCCACTTTAATCCCAGGTGATGGCTTCTCTGACTGGATGACTGAGCGAGTTGATTTCACAGCCCTCCTCCCTCTGGAGCCCCCCTTGCCCCCAGGCACCCTCCCCCCACCTTCCCCAACCCCACCTGACCTGGAAGCTATGGCCTCCCTCCTCAAGAAGGAGCTGGAACAGATGGAAGACTTCTTCCTAGATGCCCCGCTCCTCCCGCCCCCCTCCCCACTGCCGCTGTTGCCGCCACTGCCACCACCACCGCCAGCAGCCCCGTCCCTCCCTCTTCCCCTCCCCTCCCTTGACCTCCCCCAGGCCCCTATCTTGGATACTCTGGATTTGTTGGCCATCTACTGCCGCAACGAGGGCAGGCAGGGGGAGGCGGGGATGGCGCCCCTGCCGCCGATACAGCAGCCCCCTCTTCCTCCTCCACCTCAACCTTCTCGCCCGGCCCCCTACCCCCATCCCACCGTCCCCCGGGGGGACCGCAAGCAAAAGAAGAGAGACCAGAACAAGTCGGCAGCTCTGAGGTACCGCCAGCGGAAGCGGGCAGAGGGTGAGGCCCTGGAGGGCGAGTGCCAGGGGCTGGAGGCTCGGAACCGTGAGCTGAGGGAACGGGCAGAGTCTGTGGAGCGCGAGATCCAGTACGTCAAGGACCTGCTCATCGAGGTGTACAAGGCCCGGAGCCAGAAGACCCGCAGCTGCTAGAAGGGTGGGGCGTAGCTTTTGAGGGCTGGTCTTCAGCCCTGGCCCCATCATCCCCCTGCCTCCACCTTCATTCCAAACCCCTCTGTCAGCCAGGTGCAGTGGTTCATGCCTGTAATCCCAGCACTTTGGGAGGCCAAGGCAGGAGGATCGTTTGAGGCCAGGAGTTCAATACCAGCCTGGGCAACATAGCAAGACGCTGCCTCTATTAAAAAAAAAAAAAAATCAACCCTTTGCTCCCCAAAACCACCCAGCTCCCCTCTGCTTTTATCACCTCTTTTGTATTTCTGGATTTTCTTCCCTCTTCTTACCTCCACATCATGAAATGTTTGGCCTTAGTCACTGTCTGTGCCCGAGATGTAACAAACAGCAGAGGCACCGAGGCCCACAGGGAATGCAGGAAGCAGCGGGGAGCTTGGAAACCTGGTCTCTTGCTTTTCAAACCTGGTTTCCTACAGGTGGTTCTCTGGGGTGGGTGGAGGCGCTATGCAAATGAGGGTGTAAGTCGGGGCGGCTTTAAGAAGGGGACACGTATCCTACAGGCCAAAAGCAGGCCAGGTGACCTTGGGACACGGCTAGGGGAGGAAGCCTAAAGGTGGCCAGGTTTGCAGAGTGGGAGGATGGGCAGTAGTGGATGGGTGACTGGGTTCATTTTAGCTCTGGGGGAAAATCAGTGTTTTGTGAAGGTGTTGGAGTGGGGCTGTGTCTAGGTGAGGGATGGTGGGGTACTAATTTTTTTGGGAGGTTATGAGCAAAAATAAAAGCATTTCCTCTGGCCTGTGCATCTTGTCTTTGAGAGAAGCAGCTGGGGAGAGGGTGGCCTTGTAGTCTCAGCACTTTGGGAGGCCAGGGTGGGGACAGATTGCCTGAGGTCAGGAGTTGAAGACCAGCCTGACCAACAAGGTGAAATCTCATCTCTACTAAAACTACAAAATTAGCTGGGTGTGGTGGCGTGTGCCTGTCATCCTGGCAACTTGGGAGGCTAAGGCAGGAGACTCATTTGAGCCCAGGAGATGGAAGTTGCAGTGAGCCAAGATCGTGCCATTGCGCTCCAGCCTGGGAAACAAGTGAAACTCCCATCTCAGAAAAACAAACATACAACAACGACAAACCCCAAAAAGACAAGAGAGCAGGGTGGGTGCAGTGGCTCATGCCTGTAATCCCAGCACTTTGGGAGGCCAAGGTGGGTGGCTCACTTGAGATCAGGAGTTCAAGACCAGCCTGGCCAACATGGTGAAACCCCATCTCTACTAAAAATACAAAAAAATTAGCCAGGTGTGGTGGTGCATGCCTGTAGCCCCAGCTACTTGGGAAGCTGAGGCAAGAAAATCACTTCAACCCAGGAGACAGAGGTTGCAGTGAGCGAGGATCACACCATTGCTCTCCAGCCTGGGTGACGAGTGAGACTGCCTAAAACAAAACAAAAAAAACAAAGAAACCCAGCCTGGCCAACATGTCGAAATCCTGACTCTGCTAAAAATACAAAAGTCAGCCAGGCGTGGTGGTGCACACCTGTGATCCCAGTTACTTGAGAGGCTGAAGCAGGAGAATCTCTTGAACCTGGGAGGTGGAGGTTGCAGTGAGTGGAGATTGCGTTGCTGCACTCCAGCCTGGGCAACAGAGGGAGACTGTCTAAAAAATAATAATAAAGGGGAAAAAAAAGTTTGTGAACGGCTGTGTTGGTATTCATTTCCATTTAATCTCAAGCCTGGAGATTTCTGGACCACCAAGAGTGGTGAATTTGGGCTGAAACGCCACCTGTGGGTTGACTTATCCTTAGCTGCAGATTCCTTCCTCCTCCACCCAGCGGCAAAGCATCTTCACATGCAACAGTGCTGAATTTTACCGGAGCCTGTGTGCTTGGAAAGCAGAGATGGTGAAGAAATCCTCCACTTTTCTGGCAGACACCTGTAATCCCCAACACTTTGGGGGGCCAAAATGGGAGGATCGTTTGAGCCCAGGAGCTTGAGACCAGCCTGGGCAACACAGTGAGACCCTGTCTCTACAAAAGTTTTTTAAAGAACTAACAACACCAGGCTGTCCAATATGATGAAACCCGTTTCTACTAAAAAGTACAACAAAAATTAGCTGGGCATGGTGGCGCACACCTGTAGTCCCAGCTACTTGGGAGGCTGAGGCAGGAGAACCACTTGAACCTGGGAGGCGGAGGTTGCAATGAGCCAAGATCGTGCCACTGCACGTGGCAGAGTAAGACTCTGTCTAAAAAAAAAAAAAATTCTCCCACATTTTTTGCATTCCGGGAGATGGCTTACTGAGAACCACCACCCTTCCCTATGTGACGCAGATGAGACTTGAGGATGAATCCGTCTACCTAAGACAAGAGCAGACGAAGACCCTCCAAATTCCCATTTCTTGAACCAGGCTTACATTAGTTCTCTCTCCTCCCCGCCAGGCCTCTGAATTTCAGTCCATCCACAGCCCCTCCTTAAGCACGTCTCCTGAGAAAAGTAAAACATTCCCTGGTCTGTTGTCCTATGCGCCTTTTCATCTGATTTTCCCAGAGCTGCTGCTTCCAGCTTTGTGTATTCCTCCCCATAAAGAGGAGGATGTACATGTGGCTCATGCCTATAGTCCCAGCACTTTAGGAGGCTGAGGTGGGAAGATCCCTTGAGTTCTGGAGTTTCAGATCAGCCTGGGCAACATACTGAGACCCCATCTCTATAAAATAATTTAAAATTAGCTGTGCATGGTGGCACGTGCCTATAGTCCCAGCTACTCTGGAGGCTGAGGTAAGAGGATCTCTTGAGCCCTGAAGTTCAAGCCTGCAGTGAGCCACTGCATCAGCCTGGGTGACAGAGTGAGATCCTATCTCTTATTTTTTTTAAAAAAGAAAAATGAGCCAGGCACGGTGGCTCATGCCTGTAATCCCAGCACTTTGGGAGGTCATGGTGGGCGGATCATTTGAGGTCAAGAGTTTGAGATCGGCCTGGCCAACATGGTGAAACCCTGTCTACTAAAAATACAAAAATTAGCTGTGTGTGGTGGTGTGCACCTGGAGTTCCAGCTACTTGGGAGCCTGAGGCAGGAGAATGTTTTGAACCCAGGAGGCAGAGGTTGCAGTGAGATGAGATTGTGCCACTACACTCCAGCTTGGTGACAGAGTGAGACTCTGTCTCAAAAAAAAAAAAGTGGCCGGGCGCGGTGGCTCAAGCCTGTAATCCCAGCACTTTGGGAGGCCGAGGCGGGTGGATCACGAGGTCAAGAGATCGAGACCATCCTGGTCAACATGGTGAAACCCCGTCTCTACTAAAAATACAAAACATTAGCTGGGCATGGTGGCGCATGCCTGTAATCCCAGCTACTGAGGAGGTTGAGGCAGGAGAATTGCCTGAACCCAGGAGGTAGAGGTTGCGGTGACCCGAGATCGTGCCATTGCACTCCAGCCTGGGCAACAAGAGTGAAACTCCGTCTCACAAAAAAAAACTACTAACCAAAGGGGGAAAAAAACCCTGCCCAACCCTTGTCTCACTTGCAAATCTTTTGCTTCTATTGCAGTAGCCTCACCTGTATAGCAAATAGTCCCTCCCCCACCTAAAAATCCTTTCAAATAAAGTCTCTCTCCACAAGGCTGCAGTGAGCTGTGATTGTGCCACTGCACTCCAGCCTGGGTGACAGATCAAGAATGAGTTTCTACATAAAGTCTCTACTTACCAAGTCTGATTTTTTTTTTTTTTTTTTTTTTGGGAC